GGGTAGCGAGTGCTGTAGGATTTTGCTTAAGTTTTTACATTCTTTTTTTTCGCCTTACTAATCCGTCTACCACGGTTTTTTCTTTTCCTTGATCACTTTCTTCATTTTTGAGAAAAGTAATTAAAAAAGCAATTCCACCACTAAAAAGGATATTAAATGGAGTAGGCTTTCTGAAATTTGCTTGTCTCTAGGTTTAGGAATAGTAGTTGAGAATCACCATAGTAAGTTTTTCAACTTTGAATTTTTTTTCAAATTCACTAGTTTCGTGGTCCGCTTGACCAATTAATATATTTCAATTAATTAAGGTTTTCAGTTGAGATAAAAAAAGTCAATGGCACGAGCGGGATTCGAACCCACGATCTTCTGCTTGATACGCCGCTGCTCTACCACTTGAGCCTTCGTGACCTCGATCCACTCGGACACCAACCGCCCATCTCAACCACATTTTTTTTAAAGTTCTGGCTACTAAAACGTTTATTTCACCAACGTTTACAAGTTTAATATTGATCACATCTTATCGGAAATTTTACGAACTTTTCAATAGTCTCAACGGATTTGTCCAAAACCTTTTAGTTTTTGAGTTATCATTGTTTATTTGAAGTAATGTCTTGAAATCTTAAAAAATCAGAAAAAGTGGAATAACTCAGAAACTGTTGAGATTCGGACCATAGTTAATCAGGACTTTTTGGTTCCATTTTGAATGTAGAACCTACTGGCAAGGTTTGTAACACGAGTAGCCGAACACCCTGTAATTAACAACCCAGCTGCACAACTGAGTAGGTGAACTCCCCTGAGGTACCTTCGGGTAAAAGTCCAAAGTCTTAATCCAGCTGATAAAAGTTCACATGCGACTTTTACCTAAAACCTTTCAAATGTTATAATTAACTTTCTTTTTAATTCAAGCTTAATAATGTATCCCATAACTAGACAATGTTTTATTATTTGAGCCTGTGCTGTGAAATAAAATTCATCCCTTGTTTGCTTTTTTTATGTTCAACAAGAAAAAATCATGTAAAGTTTAAAAAAACTTGAGCAAACAGGAACGGGGAGACAAAGTGGATGTTAAACAGATGGGGTGCGATCGCTTGACCAATATTGACGCAATGCCCGTTAAAACGGGTATCAAGCCGATTTTTAATTTTCAAAATAACAGTGACTTTTGCCGGACTGATTTACTTTTATTATACAATTTATTGATTTTTTTCAATCGATAATTTTCTTGTCCGGAAATCATGAATGCAATGCGTCAGTTGGTAATTTGGTATGAAAGAGTCGACGAATAAGTTTTGTCAAGCCGCACGCCACTGGATTATTCCCAATAACTCACAGAATCGACATAATGTCGTTCTGTAACGGTCCGGAAAACGGATTGATCTGTCAAAAATTCGAGAAAAAAAATCCCAGACTTGTAAAATCAAGCGGTTTATCCAGAAACCCTTTGAGGTGGGCTTGTCGCGGACTTAATTTTCTTGGAAATTGAAAACGCCAGGCGGTTCTTCGTGAGAGAATGTAAGACGAAATTATTCAAAAACATTAAACCCTTTGTAAAGTCGTGATGCATGAATAACACTAATGTTTATTTAACATAATATACCTTAAACCGTCTTTGAGTTTCATTTGTTATAAATTGAGAAAATATCTTGGTAAAAACGTAAATTCGCAGTCTTCTCTGATACCACTAGTAAACGGAAAGGCTTAGCTCAACGAGCTTATCGATATTGGCTTATGAAAACTTTTAGGTCAGAAGCTTCAACAGTGATGATGCATGATGCTCTGGTCTGAATCAATGAGGCGAATTACAGCTACTTGGAAATTCAAATATTTATTTATTTTAAAAGTACAAATAGGGCTTTAAGTTCCCTTAGATGTACTTATATTATAAATAAATTAAGTATTATAAACATAGTAAAATAAGCAATAATAATTGTAAAACACAATAAAATAATAAATGACAAAAAATAATATAATAAACTATCCAGGGGGTCGTCGGTGGCCGCAACGGTTGAGGCGTTGACACGGCGCTCATCACTGTAAAGTAAAGGTCCCAGGTTCAAATCCAGCGGCCCTGCATTCGAACCCGACATACTTACAAATGGTTTTTTTTTCCTAAATACCGTCACCCTGAGGGTTTATATGTTGTTGCGAACCCTAGTAAAAAAGAGAAAAAAAAATAAAATCAACCATCCATAAAGAACAGATCAATTTCCTCTCCACCCAGATGATATTGTCGTATGTTAAAAACAGTATCAAACAAAGTTGGCGGCAAGATGGAATGTCTGTAGAGATAGTAAGAAAGAAATTAAGCCAGTTGTACATAAATGGCCAACTGAGGAACTTGAGAGAAAAGAACTTGTGAATCTCTCTAGACTGCGAATAGGTCACATCAGGCTAATCCATAATAGGTTTTTAATATGCAACAACCTTCCAACTTGTCCTTGATACGAAGTGGAGAACGTATCATTCTGACAGTAAAACATATTTTGGTCGACTGCGAAGGCAAAGGCACAACCTTTCGAGTAATTTACAGGAGCTACTGGGTCCCCGGTTTTTTCTTTCGAAGAGCACTTTTCACCTTTCTCAAATTTATTGGAATTTATAATGAGATATAGGCCTTTTCTCAAATTGTTATACCATTGAAAGTTTGCCTGCTAATGTTTGAATGAGAGTTGTGCGTGCAAGAGTTCTTTTTTTGCAGAAATTTTTGAGGCTGCCGGAGCGGAAAAATGAAATAGAAGAAAATACAAATTGTGAGGTAATAAACTGCGATGCCCGAAATTGCAATTTAAATAAGAAAGATAGAAAAAAAAGATAAAGAAAAAGAAGTGTTATTGTGTTTTGTTTCTTATTATTGTTATGTAGTATTAGTTTAAATATAAAAAGTGGAAGGTTTATGGGCCGACAAACAGCTGAGGTCATCGCCGGCCCTCCGCGTGTATTCCTTCTTTTTCCTGTCTTTCTCGCGTATTTTGTATTGAACTGCAGCCATTTGAGCATGTCGATCTGGTTACTGACTCTCTGCTTTTATTTGTATATTACGTAGTTATTTTAAAAAGCTAGCCTCTTGTTAGTACCTCAGGTTGTCAATTTAAAAATAGATACACAGCATACAATACATAACATATATATCGCCACAAACATAAAAGTCTGGTCGCATTCACTCCCCCAGAGTACTCGATATTCCTCGGGGCGGGGTTATAAGCAACCCCTTCCTTTCACGCTAATAACTTACTTTTGCTCCCCAGACATCACACACTCACCCCAGAATACTCGATATTCCTCGGGGCGGGGTAAATAACCCCTTCCTTTCACGCAAATAAATTACATTCATCCTAATGTATTAACATAAACACCACACAAACACTTCAGACACAACACAAGCACAGCACAAACACACATAACATTTGAAGATCCCTATAGCCCTGAGGTACCGGTACAGCGATTTGTGCCCGCTGCCGTGGCCCAAGACTACGCACAGGTCCGATGATATTCCAAAATATTGCTTATAAACGTCGAGCCTTCTACAATTGAAAAGGTTTAGGTACAAGTATTAGTTTATTTATCATATTTGAATGGAAGAATAAAAGGATAAGGATGAGCCTATACTCATGCTGAGACTGTTGCTAGTCTGACTCCATTATTATTATTATTATTATTAGCCATACAAGCCTATGGGAAATGTTTAAATTATGGAACAAAAATTCAAAATTCTAATTTTGAATGGAAGAATAAAAGGATAAGGATGAGCCTATACTCATGCTGAGACTGTTGCTAGTCTGACTCTATTATTATTATTTTTATTTTTTTTATGGTTAATTTTTTTTTCTCTCTTTTTTACGAGGGTTCGCAACAGCAGAGGTCATATAAACCCTCAGGGTGCTGGTGTTTTTGAAAAAAAGCCCATTTGTAAGTATGTTGGGTTCGAATGCAGGGCCGCTGGATTCGAACCCGGGACCTTAACCTTACAGTGATGAGCGCCATGTCAACGGCTTAAACCTTGCGGCCACCGATGCCCCCCCCCCTATTATTATTATTATTAGCCATACAAGCCTATGGGAAATTTAAGAACTAATGGAAGTTCCTTTAGAAACATGGAAAAGAGTAAAGGTCCAAGAATAGAGCCTTGGGTTATACCAGCTGAAATTAAGAGAAAAGAGGAGATAAAATGTGAAGCTTTAACACAAATTCCGTCAGAGGTTATTAGACAGAAATATCCACCGGATTATCCGAACAGGATTTGACAATCAAGATTCGAACAAGAACAAGGTTAAAATGGCCCTAACCATCCCTAACATGAAACAACTTTGACTTTTCAATCAGATAAATACCAAAATCAAACAAATTATGTGCAAAAGAATGGATTTATTTTATCTACAATTAGGCGGATGACTTTGAACTTTAAGGCAAGCCCTTAGGGAGTAATATATTTTAACTTGATAGCTCAAAGTTGTCTTCTGATTTAATTCGATATTTTTAAATATAGAAGAATGAAGAAATATAGCCTCAGTGGAATGAACAAACATCCGCTATAGGAACACGTACATTATTTCTTATTTGATCATAAATCTTCTTTTTTTTAATCAAAAATACCCTGAGGATTTTCCTTCCCCTATATACCATGAACTCGCAAATTGAACAGTGAATTAATTTTTTTTAATTAGAAGAAAAGTTATTCTCTGAGCGTAATTTGATTCAAACCAATTTTATTTGCTATTTTTTATTGTTATTTTTGTATATTTTATTTATAATTAGTGCTGAACTATTTACAAAATGTATAGAATATTTTTATAGATCGTTGCACCAGTTGATGATTTTTACAGGTACTATTCAACTAAAAGAATCAAATGGAAAAAATCAGCAATAAAGTTTGTTAATTTAAAATTAAAAAATATTAATAGTAACAAATAATGTTTAACATTTACATCCCAAATTATTTCACCATAAATCAAGCCTCTGACAAAGTCTATCTTTTATTTTAAAGAAAAAATAAATTTCTGTTTCAGATGATTATAATGATGGTGACAGTGGTCGTTGTTTTCACTATTTGCTGGCTGCCTTTCAACATTTTATTGGTATGATTTAATTTTTGTATGTTTTAATATGCCTAAATTACATTATGGTCATATTCTCTGATTTATAACTGGCATATATTTGTACTCTGGAGATATAATAAAATAATAAACCCAAAGCAAATAAATCAAGTTAGCCATAATAAAATCTTACTTTACATATTTTAATTTAATCTTTATGGGATCTGTCAAATTTCAAATAAATTTCAACCAAGGCGTTTAATTAGAAAAAATAATTTTTTATGTTTAATTTTTTTTCCAGTTGGTTTGGGAAGCAAATCCAAACATTGAGCTTTGGCAGGGTCTTCCATTTCTTTATTTTGCCCTTCACTGGCTTGCAATGTCGCACGCCTGCTACAACCCGCTCATTTACTGCTGGCTGAACGCCAGGTTTCGGTCTGCGTTTTGCTTGACACTGAAGAAACTATCATGCAAAAGAAAACCGCCACCCGACCAGCTCTTGCACCGAATTAACACTTGCACGACATACATCAGCATGCATCGAGCCAAACACCGGAGTAAAAGTAGCTGCCTAGAACAACAAATTTAAAAAAATCCTTTTTATTTCCAATGTATCAAAAAAAACTTGTACATATTTGTAAACATATTTTCATTTTTGATATAGAAACATCAATTTAGAAACAGTCAGTTGCTATTTCTTTCTTTAAAAAAAATCTATTCATCAGTAATGGCTGTGATAGTACATTAGAATAGATTTTGTGTACAAATATTAAACATAATTTAATACAATGTGAATCTAGGTGGTCTGTGGTTGTTGACAAACCAATCTAGCATTAAAAAAATAGTTTCACCATTCATTTTCTACCTGGTAAGTTTCAGTATAATCTGACGATCACAAATGATTTAACTAAAATTGATCTATCCTTGATTTTTCGTTATCCCGAACTGTATAAGTAGAATTTGTCATAATTTCCTTGAAAATAAAATTCAGCTGGTTGACAAAGGTTTGTCTTATTTTTTTTATTGTATTTTTTTAAAATTCTTTTATTAAAGTGTCACATTGATTGTGTTTTATGTGGAGTCAGTTCTCTTAAGCGGCCCATAGACAGTCAATATTATTGTACAATATAATTGCACAATAATTTGACGGTTGCCCCTTAACATTCAGTAATATTGTACAAAATTTTGTTTGTGCAATGAACTGTATCACTTGTTGACATTTCACATACTGACTGATATTGCGCAATAATGCCGACAGACGGTGCAATATTTTCCAGGTTGCACAATATATTTTCAACTTTTCGTCAATCATGCAATGTATTGCACAAACTTGCAATATCGTCTACACACGATCAATAAAGCGGCCCATAAACGATCAATATTATTGCACAATATTTTGGGTTGTGCAATTTAATTGATCGTGTGTAGACGATATTGAAAGTTTGTGCAATACATTGCATGATTGACGAAAAGTTGAAAATATATTGTACAACCTGGAAAATATTGCACCGTCTGTTGGCATTATTGCGCAATATCAGTCAGTTTGTGAAGTATGAACAAGTGGTACAGTTCACGTGCTCGTGGTTGCACAAAATATTGCACAAACTTCAATATCGCCTTCAAACAAAATTTTGTACAATATTATTGAACGTTAAGGGGCAACCGTCAAATTATTGTGCAATCTATATTGCACAATAATATTGAACGTCTATGGGCCGCTTAAAACTGCACAACCCAAAATATTGTGCAATAATATTGATAATCTATTTAGGCCCTAGATGATCAATTATATTGCACAATATTATGAATTGCACAATATTTTTGACTATTTAGGGTTAGTATTGAAGTTTGTTCAATGATTGAACGAAAGTTTGAGCAAGTTTAATATTTATTCCACTGTCTAGGGTATGAATTGTGCAACATTTTTCAGCCTATATCTGGTGTATGCAAAAATTGAGATTAAGATGTTCAATACTATTGCGCAATAAAAGTATTGTGCAATTTTATTGTAGGTCTATGGTCCTGGTGAGAAAATGTTAGGCTAAAAAGAATTTATAGATAAATTTCTCCCTATAATAGATTAACATTTCTTTTTCAGAAATTATTTTTTATTTATTACACTTTGAAAACTGAATTGAAAAAAGTTTTAGTTTATCTAGTTGATTTCAGGTACAACCATGATGGTTAGGGTTTTGCTACAGCAAACAAAAGTAAAAACATAGCAGTCAAAGTGTAAAGTAATTCCTGTCATGCGGGAGAGCTAAGCATCTAATTACCCATTAAGTGCCATGGACGAGCAGTCAAACCACTTTACATGACTTTTTACCCAGAACCGCTAGCGTAGCAAATACAAATCAGACGCCAAAACCGTTCGCCCATTGCAATCCCCTAAAAAATGCTAACATATTTTGACTCGAAACTTTTTGATCGACTCACTTCAATACAATTTGATCACATTCTTAGATTCTATTGGTCGATTAAAATTTTGCGATAAAAGATTTCACCCGAATCTTCCGATTTATGTTACAACTTACAGACCGCCTGACAAAACTTCACAGTTTACTATCGAAAGTTTTATCTCTAATGAATAACTAATTGTTGTGTTGGATGTTTCAATTAATTACAAAAAATGTATTATAATTCTATTTAAGAATATATATATTATGTTATTTAATACATAAAAAATTAATTTTATAGGATATTAAGCTCAACAAAAAAATGGTAAAATTGTGTTTTTTTAAAAATATTTGTTAATCTTTCTTTGTTTTATTGTTGCTTTCCTGAAGGGGCCAAAAAGTGAAAATGTGTGTATAAATAATATAAATTTTTATATTAAGAATGACAATCTGTAATTACGATCACATCGCTACAGCAATCTTCCGTCAACAAAGAAAAAAAAAAAGTGTGTGTAGTGTTACTTTTAAGTTAAAAATGACAAATGATTTTTATATATGTACAAAATTGGTCTTATGGCATTTTTATCATTAATTTGAGCGTGTTTTGGCCACAGATATAGATTTTTTTTTTTTTTAAGATTGTCGTGCATGCAAATAGATTATATTAACTCTAAAAATTATCACAGTCGAATGTACGTTTTTATCTAGTTGTATAAAAGATAGAGGATGTTTCAATTTTCTATAATTTTTTTTATACATTTTTCATACAAGTAACAAAAAGTTTGATAAGAACCCCCAACCCATATAATGTGTTATTTAACAATTAGTACATATCGTACACTTTATATTTGAAACTGACAGTTTTCTGTAACACCAGTTGTATTTTATACTCAAATTATCAATGTTTATTATAATATTCTTATTGAAAATGCTACGAATGTAAAAGGAAGCGAGATGTTTGTCAAAAATTTCTACGTTCATAATGCGTACATATCTTTAGAAAAAAGCGTATATTATATTACCAATAAAATGCTAGTCAATTGGAAAAATATTAATTAGTATGTACTTATGTGTTATTATTAAAACAGGTAACTAAGAAATATAAGGCTATATTCCTCAATGAAAATTATTGCGAATACCTATTGTAAATACAATTACGAAATAATTCTAAATTTTTAAAGGTTTTTTTTTCCAGAAAGAAAAGTCAAAAATGTGGTAAAATTGATGCAACAGAGGAAAAAATCAGACCGCTTGTCCATATGTTAATGTTAATGTTATCATAGCAAAAAAATATTATTCTGAAAATTTTATTACAAAAATAAATTAATTCACCATAATGGAAACGTCTTCTATTTCAACATACAAAAATTATTTCTAAAAAACAAAAAAAGATTTTTTTTATTTTAAAAAAGAGGTGTTTTTTTTTAGAAAAAAATATGATCTATTTCAAAATAAAAAATTAATACCTTGAATTGAAATTGAATCATAATGCAAAACATGTGACAAGACCACTAACAAAATTCCAAATACTGTAGCACATGGTGGAATCTTTGCCTCTTCAAATAGTTATATACGTAGTTTTAGCACCTATTGAAATTCCTCTAAAGTGCCTCATGAAATAGGATGTCAGAAGCGGAAGACGTTGGTCCACGTTGGGATAAATGTATTGCACATGCGATCAAAAGTATCAGTAAGTATTGCTTTACGAGCTATTAAGCACATTTAGAAGAATTTTATTCAACGGGACTGATTAATTGGTGACAAATGTGATATAAGAATTCTTATTTTCTGTTACAATTCAATTATGTCTCAGATTTATGGAGGAAAATTAACGAAAATTATAATTAATTTTCAGCAATCGGCACGGCCCTGGGCCTTGTAGCTTCAACGTTAATTTTCAAAAGCAAGTAGATTGTTTTGATTTTTTTTTCACAAGGCATAGACTAATTTATTATAAATTGTTCCAGGGAAAAGATGGGCTTTTTTACTTGGAGTGGGTTACGGAATGGGTGTCGCGTTGTCCGGATGTGAATATGAAGTGAATCAGAGGGATCCAATTCCTTATTGTGAAGACGAAAGTAAAAAACCAAAAGGAAAGTAAACTCAAGTGTACGGTAAAGTTTGCAGTCCGCTAGCTAACATGAGTATGGGATTGCTAACACTTTTAAATATATATCGTTAAATATGTCATGTTGTCTATTCTCATACGTTTGTAGTAAATAATAAATAACATTGTGAGGTTTACGACACGATGAACCAGTCGCTTCATAGGCCATCCTATTCCATTCGACTATTTTGTCAGCTGTGTCCTTATACAAAATTATAAAAGAATTCAATACTTCAAAATATAACAGAAAAAAAATCAGAGGAGGCCCCATGGCTTAACAAAATTAATAAAATAAAGTTTTATTGCTGAAAAATCAAATTGCCTATAGATAATAATATGGATTAAAAATCCAGGAACTTCTCCACACTGTAAAAAGCATTCTGAAATAAAAATCATTTGAACGACACTTAAAATGAAAGTATGTTATTACAATTTTTAACATCAGGTTGGAGTGTGTTATAAATCACCACACATTTATAAAAAATATTTTTATTATTAATTCACGAGCTTTTTATTGTTGTGTGGTGATTCCCAAACTGGGCTCAACGGCTCTATGGAACACCACGGTTGTGCTACAAGGGCACGAAGTCCCAGAGAGCCACGGCGCACATTTTAGGAACCACTGCACCACAGTAAAAAGCACACAAATTAATAATAAAAACATTATGCTACAAGGATGTCACGAAAATTTTCTATAAAAAAATATTAATCCATATATGTTCAGCAGTCACAATTGACCTATTTAATTATTTCAATTAATTACGTTTTTCATCTCAACCAAGACTTTAGATAAAAAGTATAATTGATGGAAATAAAAAATATTATTTTTATATTTATAAAAAAAAAAAATCCTAAAAATTAAACCCTCCTGTATAAAACCCTAAAAATCAAGACCCTAGTGGCCATCCAAACGCAACATGGATGTTAACGAGAGAGCTGCAATTGTGTAGTTTATATTATTCCAACAAAAAAAAAAAAAAAGTATTCGCTTTTAAATTTTTGTCATTAAGTGCGTAATTGCTTTTCAAAAGGCATCAGGTGGGAGTGTGTTATAAATCATCACACATTTATAAAATATATTTTCAGTATTAATTCGCATGCTTTTTATTGTATAGTGCAGTGATTCCCAAACTGTGCTCAACGGCTCTCTGGAACACTACGGCTAAGCGAATCGCTAAATTGATTATATTAAGAATAAGACCATTTTCCAAAACCTCAAACCAAAACTTAATCCATTGTGTGCTTAAGTTTCAACCGTAATTCATCGGAAGTGCTTCCCATGATGATTAAGTAGGCATCACCCTCAGTGCAAGTATGAAGTCATTTAATGTGTATTAAAAATAACATAGGGCCGAGTATGGAACCCTGTGGTACTCTGCACTTGAATGGGATCTCAGAAGACGTCTCCCCGACCAAAAATTTTATTCAACATATTCAGATAATCTTTACTTTCTGGTCGGCTTCTACACAAAAGATGTACAAGACTACTACCATTCACCTCTACGAAATGTCAACTGCGCAGGCCGGACCCAAGGCAGTGTGCTCTTCCAGACAAATTAGTCAACTATTAACCTGTGTTATTTAATTTTACATTACAAGCCTACTTCATACTGTGCTTATCACATGGTGTTAACGAGCAAGGTTGGAGGACCACAATGTTAACGAGGAAGCGGACTGTAATTTTACAAACGAAAAATTGGGTAAAATTAAAAAAAAAAAAAAAACACCATTATCCGGCCCGGAGGACCACAATGTTAACGAGGAAGTGGACTGTAATTTTACGAACGAAAAATTGGGTAAAATTTAAAAAAAAGAACACCATTATCCGGCCCGGAGGACCACAATGTTAACGAGCAAGCGGACTGTAATTTTATGAACAAAAAATTGGGTAAAATAAAAAAAAAGAACATTATCCGGCCCAGAGGACCACAATGTTAACGAGCAAGTGGACTGTAATTTTACGAACAAAAAATTGGTTAAAATAAATAAAAAAGAACACCATTATCCGGCCCGGAGGACCACAATGTTAACGAGCAAGCGGACTGTAATTTTAGAACAAAAAATTGGGTAAAATTAAAAAAAAAAGAACACCATTATCCGGCCCGGAGGACCACAATATTAACGAGCAAGAGGACTGTAATTTTATGAACAAAAAATTGGGTAAAATTAAAAAAAAAAAAGAACGCCATTATCCGGCCCGGAGGACCACAATATTACAAGCAAGTGGACTGTAATTTTATGAACAAAAAATTTGGTAAAATTAAAAAAAAAAGAAAAGAAAAAAGAACTCACCATCCAGACGATTCCTCAAAACTCTACGATGAGTAAAGGGGGAAAGGACAGGTGTGCGGATGATGTAGGAAAATCGGGATCAGGATACCTTTTACCTCGTTTCCTCGAAGAGCCACTGTCAATCGGTGATCTCGCCACGAAGATCGCGAAAAATAAAATAAAAGAAGACAAAATAGAAATTTTGAACGAAAACGATTGGCCAACGACCGATATGAACGATTCGAACGACAACAACGAACTGTGTAAGGCAGAGAGGACCGAGCGTTAACATCGCCGTACCCTGGGCTCAAAGTCCACAAAAAAAATGGCTTTAACACATGGTTTTCTTCTGTTAGTCTTCTCCACTATGTTTAAAGCATAATTATACATTAATCCAATTAAACCTGTAAAATAAATGTCCAAAATGTAAGCTGAAGTTATAGGCCTCTGGGACGTAAAAAAAATATTAAATGCTTTCGTAAAGCATGTATGTTTGAGAAAATGCATAAATTAAAAAAAAAAAAAAAAACCTGTACACCCTTTCCTTCAGTTCCTTACCGTTTTTTTAACCCGCAAAATTAAATTGTGCACACCCAAAATTAATCTAATTTCTATTTGACCATCTTGTACAAATAAACTATGAATTTTAATCATAAAAAATGAAAATTGTGTCAAAGGTCAATTTTTTTTAACCAGAAGGAAAATAGCATTGCAGAAAACCTCGTTAATCACAGGTAGATATAAATAGGAAAACAAAACGATAATGACTACAGTGTTTTTTATTAATATAATTACAATCATACACTTAAAAAAAACCAAGTTGACTAAATTTTATCAAATGTTTGTGAATTTGTACAACAGATATGACATAGTGCAATTTTTTCTGTACACAGGAAAGATTGGGGGGGATAAAATCCAAATAATATACATATACAAATATGGTACAAACAAAAATAAAAATCTTTTACACAGTAAAAAGAACAAAACATTTTTTAAAAAACTTACAAAGAACAAAAGAAATGAAACTATACAGTTTTAAATAAATATTTATACAAAACAATTGTCTTTTATCCGAGCAGACCTTTGGTCAAACTTAAAACTTATCGATCGATAGAGAACTAATCAACAGAACAAAAAATATAATGTACACATGCCTAGGATTAAATTATGATCTTAGGAAAAGAAATAAAAATCAAATTCTGATACAATCTTCAGAATAGGATATGTCCTTTTATACAAGCACCTTTTTTAGAATAATCGATTAAACAGCACAGGTTCGTGATAGAAGTTTTTGGAATATTTGATAAAATTTTTGTCAATAATTAAGCAATTAATGAAGTAGAAAACTTGTTTTCAATTTTATTATGAAAATATTTTTTTTTATTCGCTGATATATCTATATATATTAAACACATAGGAAGATTTGTTTAATTTTGTTATTTTTAAATAGTCCACATGTAAAAATATAGATAAACAAGTTTTGTAATAACCACTCCACAGCCATAACTACTAAAAATGACTATTCTAAGTAACCAAGATATTCCTCGAAATTACTACAGTCTGGAGATTATATTTTTTTCTATAAACCCATTTGTCTATTTTTTAAGTTGCACAGATATAAATCTTATAATATAAAGGACAATTAGTCTAAATTGAAAATTAAGAAATGGTAAACTAAAGCAACAACTTTAATATTCAGTGTACATTTTAAATATTTAATTTTTGAATTTACTCCCTGGATATGTTAAAACTGTTCAAACTTGGAAGAAGAGAAAAAAATGTACAGTGAATATCAAATTTTGCTCGGGTTTACGCTTTCTTAAATTTCCTACAGTTTTCAATTTAAATTCTTTCAAACCACTTCAATCTAAAATTTCACAATAATTTCACAAGACGACACTATGACTTAAATATATAACACATGAAAAATGTTAATTAGATATGTTATATCCATTAAGCTAATAAAATATTTCAATATTAAGATTAAAATTGGTATATCAGTTCTTGAGTCGACATGAAAATACGCTTTCAAAAAAGATCAATTTCAGAAAAACATTTAAGATTATAAATGCAGTTAAAGTGGTCAGGTATGGAATGTTTTTATTTTTATTATTTTTTTATTACATTGCATATTAGTTTAATATTGAAATGTTAGCCCTATAATGGTCAAAATTTATACTTTTTTTTTAAAAAGGAAAGATTAAAAAATTTCTAGATTATCAGAACCTTCCACTTGGCTAATCGACAAATTCTTTAAATGAGATCATAATTAGTGATAAAAGTTTGCCATATTGTTAATTTAGCACCTTTCAAAATTTTCCCCTTTCATTTGTTATAGGTACAAAATAAAAAGAAATCCTTACTGGACTTAGTTGAATTAAATAGCAGAAATCTGTGTTTCGTCTTCATCTGTAATATTAAAAACAAAACAAAATCAATAAAAAAAAAAAAAAATTACAAAAGTACAAAATTAAAATGAAACGTATAACATTTATTTTTTACATGCTGAAAATGGACATACACATGTTTATATTTCGTTTTAATTTGTAATCGTAAGCTCATTCAATTTTAGCAGCAATAAATGTACACAAACACAAAGCAAGGCTTAAACAGAAAGCGGCAAACAAGTTATTTGAAAATAATAATTGCTTACTCGGTTCAATGATGCCTCTTTCGAATGAATAATGTACAAACTATTTTTCTCCCATGAGAAATCTGCACCACAAAATATTGTCGGTAAAACATTAATAAACAAATAGGCCTTAGACTGATAAAATCAGTTCTTTGTATAAAATGTACAACCAAATAATGTCCATCCCCCCCCCAAAAAAAAAGCAGAATTCTTTTTTTTTTTTCTTCGTGAAAGTTTATTAACTGAGGGTTAATTGTGTGACTTAAAAGCGACTGAAGTGATATTGAATGATGAGGATTGTAACAGAGCTACCAGAGAGATTTCAGGTAAATCGTACAACAATAAAAAGAAGAATTCTATCTCTGAGCTATGTTGTGAAACTCAGGGACAAGGAAGATCATCACATCTGAATAGGAAAAAATCAGAAGGGTTTATTTCCTATTTGGGCAATGGGGTGAAAAGAGGGTCATTTACAAAAATGTTAAACGCTTTAGGATAAAATTTGCAAGAACGAAACATTGATGGCATCAGGAACAGGAGTCGTTCCTATTGTCAGTTTGATGGGATATTCGTGGAATAATTTATTATCAGCAACCAAACGCTCATGGTCAAAGTATGCTGCACCAGTTTTAGCATCTTGGGATGGCGTTTAAGGAAATACATCTGACCCTGGTGAATAGATGAAACATTTTTTTAATTCAATTAACTAACTGAATGAAGTATACTTCACTAAAGCTCTCCGTGGCTATTTCATTTGTCGCAGAGAATCAAATAGATTACACCACATTTGAAAAATGGCAAAGGAGGGGTTGAGATGGGAAGTTAGTGTCCGAGGTGATCGAGGTGACGATAACACAAGTGGTAGAGCAGCGGCGTATCAAGCCGAAGATTGTGGGTTCGAATCCCGCTCGTGACACTGACTTTTTTATCTCAACTAAAAACATTAATTAATTGAAAGATAGTAATTGGTCAAGCGGACCACAAAACTAGTGAATTTAATAAGTTTTTCATTTTTTTTAATTTTATTTTTTCATTGATTAAAGTTGTGGTGACTTACCACCTTCTCAACGAAAGCGGCACCTAACCAAATTACCAACAATTAGAACCGTTAGCCAAGGGGGAAAAGATCAAACTCAAAATCCTCAACTCTCTACTGCAAATTTAAAAAAAATCCTTCTAGGATAGCGAAATTACATTTTTTAAGTAGGCAGTTTTTGAGAGAATGATTCAAATTTCTCTAAGATGGAGAGTTTAGGTTTCAGGATGATTGTACAACAGGCAACATATGGTAATGTTTCTGGCATCATGTCTTTTTATAACATCGATTCTTTCCCTCAAAGATTCCCTCCCCGCCTTGGCTGACTTTCCCATTTTCAAGGTGCATTCCTCTTTCTAATACCTGTTATCTCATCATTCTGAGGATTTATTTATTTATTTTTTTAACCCTCTTCCTCCGGAGCTTCAAAACGTCCGGAGGCTCTGACAACCCTCTGACTCACCTCAGAAGACCTGTTTTCCATACAGCCAAGGTGCATTAAAAAAAAAAAAAATGGTTTTATGGGCAAAAATTTTGTTAAAATTGAGCAGACGGAGAAAGCTGAATATTTTTTTTAATTTATTTAACTGTTTCTTGTATTTGATTAAAAATAAAATTAATAAATTCACTAATTTCGTGGTCCGCTTGACCAATTAATAAATTACAATTAATTAAGGATTTTTGTTGAGATAAAAAATGCCAAAAATGAAAAATGGCAAAAAGGAGGGAAAATTCACAAGGTGGGGTTGAGATAGGAAGTTGATGTCCGAGTGGATTGAGATCACGATAGCTCAAGTGGTAGAGCAGCGGCGTATCTAACCGAAGATCGTGGGTTCGAATCCCGCTCGTGCCAATGACTTTTTTATCTCAACTAAAAACCTTAATTAATTGTAATATATTAATTGGTCAAGCGGACCACGAAATTTAATTATTTAAAAAAATTACTTCACTAAAGCTTTCCATGGCCATTTCATTTGTCGTCGAGAATCCAATCCGATTACACGACATTTGAAAAATGGCAAAAAGGAGGGGTTGAGGTTAGTGCCCGAGTGGATCCAGGTCACGATAGCTCAAGTGGTTCGAGCAGCGGCGTATCTAGCCGAAGATCATGGGTTCGAATCCCGCTCGTGCCATTGACTTTTTTATCTCAACTAAAAACCTTAATTAATTGTAATAAAATTAAATATATTTTGAAAGTTTTTTCTTAAGCAAACCGAAAAAACTTATAATTCATATTAACACACATAATAAATAAAATTATTTACAAAAAAACACACATCTAGCACCAGGACCAAATAAGGCAAGAGACTACGCTGTCAGTGTTAAAGCAGAACAAATATTTTCAAATTAACAATTATGTACAATAATATAGAAACATTTGGGGGTGATGTTTTATCAACGACCATTCTGACGCCTATACTATTTCATCTTATAATTATTATTGCATGTGCATTCTTTTGTGCATGTGCCCCCAATGTACATGAAATACTTACCACATTGAAAATAAAAAACAAAAATACAAGTGAAAATCTGTACAATATCAGAAGACAGGATGTTATCTTTTTTTTTTTAAATTAAATTTATAAAGCCCCGATAATAATGTATGTACAAGTAAGTGATAATATTCCTATAAAGTACTAACCGTAGAGAACGACGAGATAGTACTAACCATCTTCGTCGTGATAGTAAGGGTGAGTGACTCCTTCATGCGAATGTGCTCTACCAAGCCTTTGCAGCCTGTGCGTCGCCATGTTATATGGTGGCCCTATTCTAGGCTGTGTAGGAGCTGTTCCCAAAACACAACCTAAACATTGTTCGATTAAGATTCATGCTAAAGTTAATTAACAATGTTCCAAGTTCTGATTTAATATTGGTTTTTTCGTGACAAAAAAAAACGCTTGTATTAATTACAATCTAAGATACGTTAATTATAATAAAACATAAAAACAATTACAAAGCGTTAATTAATGTGATAGATATTGTAATTTGTAAAAAGTTTGAATATGATTGACACAAATATATAGTTATTATAAATATATGGAGTGACAGACATGTGGTTTTGTATGTACTCGCATTCAAATCAACTCACCATTTGGTAAAGGTGGCAACACCGGTACAGCATGCAAGAAAGGGGGCCTCCCTACAAGAAATTCAATATTTTCACGTCGGCATAAAAAAACACGAATGTTTTCTTTATTTAAACAACAAATGTATATTTAAAAAGAAAAAACTATGTATTAGTATCCAACGAATTTTTTTTTTTTAATTTCGAATTCATGCCGGAAATATTAAAAATGGTTAAATTTTAAGAAAAATATTACAACAAAATAAACCAAAAGAACCAAAGATAAATTTTTAAAATTCCCTTTTTAAATTGTAAATTGTAACATAGCGGATAAAATCTGTTTTAAGAGGGTTACATTTTTAGAGAGAAAAAAATGGTTAGGACCCCAATCAAACAAAATAAATTAATTTGTAGTCGTTTTATTTGAAATATGGAGAGGCCGAGAAAGGAAGTCAATATTAGAAAGTTCCAGTATGTGAAATATCAATTTTTTCATCCTTGAATATTTTTTACTGTTTAAATACACTAAACTTTAACCAAGTGGCAGTGTCGGAGGGCCATATCAGCATAGAAGCTGAAACGTATCAAGAGCACTCTCTGAGTGATCTGTCTAGCAGAAAACGGGTCATCCTTACTCGCTTAATGAAAGTTTTTTTTTTTTTTTTGTTTCGAATACAGCTGGATTTGAACCCAGGACCTTTACTAGTGATGGGCTGCGTGTCAATGCCTAAACCATCAGGGCCACTGCTGCCCCCCAGGATAGGTTGTGAAAGTTGACATACTTTTGTCCACAATGTAGGGAAAAGTTGCAATTCCTTGGCTCCTTATAGAGAGTGTGTAGGTATGCCACCTGATATGAGAATTGTGCTTAAGCACGACTGTATCTAGGTCCCCTGTTCTAATTGTATGAAGAAACAAGACTGTTTTCTTGTATATAATACTAATATTCCCCCCCCCCTAGTGTGTTGAGAGTGAATGTATATATAAGCGTGAATGTGTGAGACGATCGATGGCAGAAAATTGAGTACCCCTGATCCTCAATTATATAGGTGTAAAGAATATTGAAAAAATATTGAGTGCTTCATCATCCTGAGTGAATGGTATGTAAATAAGAAAGAAGCAAGAGTGTCAACGGGTGTGGATTTAGCAACTGGGTGAATTGGATGCTGACTAGCTGTTGATTACCCCCTCGAACCCAAGCTTGGTATAATGACCAAGGTTCGACCCCAGACTGCCAGCACTCAGGGTGGGTGATTCTTGGTGCGTGCCAGTACAGGCTAACTTTTAAGATATGACAAACAGAAGCTTGAGGTTCCACCTCGGAACCTGAGATTTATAGGCATTTAATTGTTTTTCCTTGGAATATCACGCTTCATTAAAAATTAATCATCTTAGATCATCCAGATATGCCAATTCTCACCCATTCTATCAGGGTGTCAGTTTGCCGTTTGTACTGACCATCAATGAAGATGGTAAACCACTAAATTTGTGACAAAAACCTAAGATAATTGACAGATCATGATGACCAGAGATGATCACGTTACTTTTGTAAATATATTTTTTATTCGATGATTTTACTTGTATTCATAAAATAAAACTGATATTTCACACGTTACATGTTATTTAAGCACATATACCATCCTGTCAATGTTAGTTACTGATAAAAACATGCAATAAAATGTACACACATGCAAGTAATTAAAATGATCCATGCTAGAAATATAAAAAGATTGGGAATATATTTAAATTTGATTTATTGGCCGTAACCTGGCTATAATTGTTACTAATGAGGCGAGACTGCAGTTTTTTTTTTTGGTGATTCTAGGTTGAAAAATACTCGAACGTTTTATTTTACATCTCTGATTCTGATTAATTTACAGAGCCAAAATTCGTGCCAATGCGTATAGTTTAAAATATTCAAATACTCTGTAAATCAGTAGTTGCTACAAAATTGTAAGAATTTTTGCATTTTTTTCAGAAACAGTCGGAGGCATTTCGAAGGCGAAAAATTTGAGGGAAAAATTGTTTTTCGATTTGACTGATAGCCATGGGTATTGTAAATATTGAAATTTGTGACCAAACAATATTATATTGTTTTATTATTAATTTTCCTCTCCTGCTTTAAATAAAAATAAAAAAAAAATTAATTACATTTATTTGGAATTTACAACTACAAGTGTTGTATTAAGTAAATATGTTCGTATATGTTGAATTATCATTTGAGGCTCTTGTAGGAGAAGTTGCCCAGTGGTAATACTACTTCACACTGATTAAAAAATAAATAAAAATAAACAAAATAAAAATAAAAAATAAAATAAAAACCAATACGTGTGTTTTATTAGTGACCAGTTGTTTAATAATTTGTTGGATTTGGTTGTTGGATCGAATCCAACAAATACATAACACATGTGTAAGCCGGTCCCCGTCTTAGCGATAAATTTTAGTTGTTAAAATAAGAACAAAATAGGGTAAACGATGAAAGGGGACAAAGGTTGCAACTCTGAAGGGGCGACCACCCAGACGGGAACGACGTGACGTCCCCCTCAAATCTGTCAAACGTAGCTTGGAAATGGTTACCCAGGTAGACAGATAGATAAGAACATCGAAGTGTGTGGATGACCCAGGCTGGACCCACGTCTTGTTTCCTACGAACCTGAGGAACATAACATAGCAATAGCCAGACAACCGATCAAATAAATAACTATCGTCTAGATATTTAATGCTGAAGGGTTGTCACATGGTCAAAAATCCGTAGCCATGAGGGACATCGTAAATCGGGATCGCGTCAACCCTGTGCTCGCCACCGGTCTTCGCCGGTCCACCCGTGGCGTGGGAACTCCCCCGACTTTTGAGTACCCCTACTCCGGGAGAGAACCGGTATAAAAGGGATGACTGGGAAATCTAAAGTCAGTCAAAATCAAAGACTCACTCCAGGAAGTCAAAACTAGAGACTCACCCCCTAGAGTCAAAACCAAGGACCGGGAGAGAAGCAGCCACACTTCGTCTGGGATTCAACAAGAGGACTCAGCCAGCCAGAGCCAGTGAGGATCAGCCATTGCGAACAATCAAGCCAAGTCAACGGTCGAGAGAAAGGATGCTGTGGACAATGATCGTGGCGAACATCGTTTGGGGTAAGTCTCTTTGTTGATAGACTCATACCAGATTTACAGTTGTGGCTGACTTGTAGATTAATTAAGATTCTGTGGTTTGCGTACCGTTAAGAGACGGAATTGTGTACAATAAATGTTACTGAATATGCTCTCTGGTTTATTGAATTCTAGAACCTTACCTTCCATTACACAAGAATAAGTAGCAACGTGCTAATCTCTTGTTGCTTAGAGAAAAGTAAGTGAATATTGAGAGATTATTCGGCGCTGTGCCGTCAACCGCTTACACATGTGCAACATAGGCAAGCAACATTTTTTTAAGTAATTAAGTTTTTCCTTGTTTTCTAGGGCCCATTGGCAAGAATGCTCATAATTGTGTCTACTATTTTCCAATCTAGTATCACCCAAAAAAAGTTTAATTAAAATTGTCGATCCGACATTCGTAACTTTGTCAATTATTTATTTTTATTATAGGAAATAGTAAATTTTCATGTGCAACTTAAAATTAAATTCATAAGTACCCCAGTATCCAAATTATTCACCAAATTAGTTTATTAATCATTGAAAAAAATGAGAGAGTATTAGATTTTATTACAAATTTATTGAAAACTGAACCAATTTTATAGTAATTTTAGCATATATCTACAAATATTTAAGGAAAAGTTAAACCTTATTGCATCCCAAGACTGTGCAACCATAAAGGAGAAAAGTGATTATATCCCAATGTGTGAAGCGTTGGATTCTAAAGTCTGGGTTATTCCATAGGAAAGTGGTTGTGTACGAGAAAATCTATAATTACCAGGCTGCAACGCAGAATGCCTACGGAGGTGAAAAGGAGGAGACGTCGATGTCGGACACATTGGCGTCTCAGCCGAGCTGTTAGAATGCGAGTCCAAAGCCGTCGAATGACCCGAATCACTACTTGTTACCGAGCCTGAAAATATTTTTAAATTATTTCTCCTACTGTTTGAGTTTTTTTGACATTTTATTGATATTAATATTGGTATTAGTTTTCAGTATTATTATTATTAAAAAATCAAAAGCTTATTAAAACATGCCAAATACTTTGTTAATTCATCTCGTAATACTGAGTTTTGTTTTCTAAATCGGTGGTAGAGTCGGTAGAAAGGACTCACCACTTGTTAATGTCTTCCTTAAGGGCAGATTAGAAAGACTTGTTACACTAGATGACTCTGCGTTGAGATCGACCGAGGACAAGAGCGCCGTATGATGGTACGCCGGGAGAGGTGGAGTATCTGAGTGACTCCTTTCATGACTCGCCCCTCTCGGCTGGGGTCCGCCGCCCCTCCTCACGGCTCCTGGGCTTTGACGCGGCCTCGTCTTGCTCTGCTCAGCAAGAGAGAGGAGCTTCCTGACGGCTTGGGGCGAGGCTGATCCTATCCGAGATATTAGTGAGTTGTTTTTATTATTCCATTAAGCAAGACAAAGCGGCATATTTTTAAAAAAAAAAGCATGCTTATTACTTTCTAAAAAAATAAATAAAATGAAAATACAACCAAAAGTACAAATTTAAAAAAGATTTTTAATATCGTTTTGTAAAAGAGTAAAGAACTAAGTTTCACACTTTTGCACTTTGGGTTTTTCATTTTTAATCAAACACAAAATGCTTTTAATTTAATCCAGCTGTGACTAATAATTATATATAATCAATGTTAGAATAGGCCAATTTATTATTGCATACAAACTGGTCGAAGCTCACCGAATTTCGGATGGGCGTGCTTTCGCGTGCCTTCGGATGCACTGCTCGCTGACGAAGCCGTGCTGAGAGTTGGGGAAGGGTTTCTTTTCCGGATCGGCCCCGAAGAAGAGCCTCCTTCTCTTGCGCCTTCGCACTCGAGCGATAACTCGTGAAGTTTCTCCTCGTCGGTCACGACTCTCATTCTGTTGAGATAAGCCTTGACCCTCCTCACCATTTGCGCCTGACAAGAAATTTATTAACGCGATATTTAAAAATTTATCGTATAATTAAAAAATACCTCTTCAAACATTTTTTTAGGATTTGGCGCTCCAGTAGATTTTTTTCTTCGTTTAACCGTAGCTGCACCCTGTTGCACATTCCCTGTGGTTAACTGATTCAAAGCGACCATCGCATTCGATGGCGGTTGACCTCCTGTTTATAAAAAATGTGTTACAATTTTCAAAATGATACAAATCAAATCAAAACAAACCTAATTCGAGCATTGTGAGTAAATCGTACGGCGAAGAACACATATTCGTAAGTGTTCTTACTTCTTTTGCAATCATCCTGAGTTTTTCGAAGTTGATCAAGCCTTCGACTTTTGTGTCGTTTCCCAGATGAATAAATGTCAGGTCCTTCTTAACGACTGGGTAAAACGGTATCTGAAATCGAAAAAAGAAGTTAGGTTTTTCCCGTTTTGTGTTTTCTTCGGAATTAATCAATAAACTCACGATCGGCGGAGTTCCACTGTTGACTAGTTGCCTATACTTGCTCATGTTTCTCGAAGGATCCATTATTTGCTGAAGATCTTGAAACAGCCTTTGATATTTACTCGGTAATTTGTCCCAAGTGAGTCTTAATCTACTGACCGCGCCATGCCCGAGGCCTGATACGATGGCGAACATGGAGTTGAAATTTTTACATTCTTTACATTGCCCTGAGAGAGAAAAAATTGAGTATAAAGTTTAAGGAAAAAAATTAAACTTTTTAAAAATCAACTTACTCGCAACTTTGATAAATTGTTTAATAATTTTAGATCTTCTTACGAGGTTATGTTCAGAACAAACCTCAGTCACAACCCAAAACATCTCTCTATTTACAAGCTAAACCAAAACATTAAAAAAAATTATATCATCCACTATATCAAAAAATATTTTCCAAAATAAATTACCTCCGCAAATTGTGTTAGCATTGGAGTGCCATATCGGCTGTTAATATCGAACAACTCGTCGACATACTCGGTAGATTCTATCTGTCTAAATATAGAAAAGTCTTGTAAAGTCAGTTGAACGCTGACTTCAACGGCGTTCAACTGCAAGAAATGCACATTGCTCTCCCTGACTAACTCGCTCGCCAGGTCATCACCAACTAACGTTTCCGTGATGCCATTCGTTTTTAAATAATACCTAAATAAGATATAAAATTTAAATTTGAACCTTAAAACAAAGGGGGGGGGTATTGTACGTATACTTGCCTGCTACTTAAACCTATTCTTTCGGCTAGATTCTGAAGTTGATCGGGAAGCCTTTTTTGTTTGATAATACCACCCTCGGAAACGGAAACTTCACAAAGTGAAAAATGCCAACTTTGCTCAGTTATACCGAATTCTTGCAGTGCTAACATAACTACTTCATGGGCTGTTGTTTCCTGCAGAAAAACATTCTCATATTCACTTTTTGGTTATTCAACATTAACTAAAGAAACATTATTGGCCATAATGGTTAAAGTGTTGACATGGAGAGTCATCACTGTAACGATCCTGAGCTGCCCTGAATTTGAATCCAATATACTTTTTATAAGTAGGCATTGAAAAAATCGGGTTTATTGGATTTAAAAAAATTCGGGAATTAATATGAACTTAGAAAGGGATAATTTGAAGATAAAAATGGTTAATTTGAAGATAAAAATGGTTAATTTGCAGTTAAAAATAGCTTATTTTGAAGATAGAAAGGGTTAATTTTAAGTTAAAAAGCATTGATCCGAAATTAAAAAGGTTGATTTGTTGTTTAAAAAATGGTTAATTTGTAGTATAAAAAAAGGTTAATTTGCACTTAAAAAAAAAAAGGTTAATTTGTTAGTTAAATAGGGTTCATTTGTAGTTTTAAAAATAATTAATTTGTAGCTAAAAAAGGGTTAATTTGTAGTTAAAAAGGGTTAATTTTAAGTTTAAAAAGTTAATTTTGAGTAAAAAAAGGGGCTGATTCCAAATTAAAACGGTTGGTTTGTTGTTTAACAAGGGTTAATTTGTAGTTAAAGAGGGTTCGTTTGTAGTTTAAAAAAGGCTTAATCTGTAGTTTAAAAAAGGGTTAATTTGTAGTTTTAAAGAGTTAATTTTTGATAAAAAAGGGTTAATTTGTATTTTTTTTAAAGAGTTCATTTGTAGTTAAAAAGGATAAATTTGAACAAAAAAAATTGAAATTAGAACAAGGTTAATTTGAAATAAAAAAGGGTTAATTTGTAGTTTAAAAAAAAGGTTAATTTGTAGTTAAAAAAAAGGTTTATTTGTAGTTAAAAAAGGTTAATTTGTAATTAAAAAGGGATCATTTGTAGTTTAAAAAAGGATTCATTTGTAGTAAAAAATGGTAAAGTTGAACCTTAAAAAAAAAATTGAAGTTAAACAAGGTTAATTTGTAGTTAAAAAAAAGGTTAATTTGAAGTTAAAAAAGGATCATTTGTAGTTTAAAAAAGGATTCATTTGTAGTTTAAAAAAGGGTTAATTTGTAGTTAAAAAAAGGTTAATTTGTAGTTTAAAAAAGGATTCATTTGTAGTTTAAAAAAAGGGTTAATTTGTAGTTAAAAAAGGTTAATTTGTAGTTTAAAAAAGGATTCATTTGTAGTTTAAAAAAGGGTTAATTTGTAGTTAAAAAAAGGTTAATTTGTAGTTTAAAAAAGGATTCATTTGTAGTTTAAAAAAAGGGTTAATTTGTAGTTAAAAAAGGTTAATTTGTAGTTAAAAAGGGATCATTTGTAGTTTAAAAAAGGATTCATTTATAGTTTTTTGTATAGTTTTTCATAATTCTAAGATCAATAAATCAGCTCTGGTAGACATACCAAAGCAGGTGATATATAAATGCGTGCTTCAGAAAATAAGCTTGGTGCTTTGAAAAACAGGACAAGGGTGATAGCATAAGATCGGATATTTTTGGCATGCCTAACATGCTGTTTACGCTTTTGGATTTGTTTCGGCTTCTTTTCATCTTGTTTTAAAAAATAATTTTGGTTGAAACTCATTACTGAAGATGACGAGAAGCTGAACCGCATCAACCAAAACGATTGGTAAGGATCAAAATACAGATTTTTATGAAAACAAATTTTTCAAAACTAAAAAATTTCCTCATTGTCAACCGAAACATGTTCACATTAAATAGGCGTTTGGATTTGTGATTTATTTGTATTAATATAATATTTGTTACATTAAGGGCCTTCACAAAGTGTGAGGAGGGATATATGTTGAGGATGGCACTGAATATCCGATGCATCCAACATTTCAGTTAGACAAGGATAATCGCCCATAAAGAAAAATGGAACGAAATGAAAAATATGGTAAAAACGCACCTTATGGACAAGAAGATATTTGCAGGTTTGGTCAGCTTTGTACACTTTAAGTACATGCTCAGGATAATCTGCTGCTCTTATGTCGTCATAACAAAAATTGACAAGGTCAGGTTGCGTGACAAGATTGGACTCCCCCGTATTTTCCTTAATCTCTTCATGATAACCATCACTAGAATAAATATTTTAAAAAAATTTAAATTCACCCAAAACAATAAATAAACAAAAACTCACATGATTGTGTTTTTAGGAAGGATGTTCATTTTAATTAAAGCTTTCTGCAGCCTCTTTTTTGACGCTAAAGTCATAAACGACTGTTTTACCGGTTTCGTCGGAGAGACAGGTGCGACTGGAAGTGGAGGCAACGGAGGAGGCAGCGGAGGAGGTGGGCTCGGCTCCGACCTCCTCGGTGTGCCTCTACTTCTACCAGACGCACTTGTCAACATCTCTTTGAAGCCTGGAAAAAAATTGGTTAATCAATGTTTATTTTTAAAACTATAACGTTTTTATTACCTAGTAAATTAGATTTAACTGTTATGCTAAGATGTGTGCTCGACCTGAGTATCTCAAGCGCTTTCGGATGTGATATATGAGCGAAACTGTTTCCATTAACTTCAAGAATTTGGTCAGCCCTCTTAAGACCAACGTCTTCAGCTTTACAACCCTTTTTAACCTAAATTAAAGAAGAAAATTTAATTTAAACAGTTTATTTAAAAAAAAGTAATTTTTAAATATTTTATACCTCAGATATAAATATGCCAAATCCTCTTTCGTAGCCTCCTAGGATTGAGAATGGAAGAACGTCGTCTCTAGACGGCCTTGCTAATGTGATGCACCTCGGCCTTGCTTTCGCTGCGCAAGCTATGTTGAGCAGCCTGAGCTGTCCAATCATCCTTTCTTTCTCCAGCCAACCTAAAACACCAAAAAAACAACGATATATCCAATAAATACAAAACAAAAATAACTAACCTTCAAATAATTCTAAAATTTCCATCATTGCCGGATTGGTTTCAAAGTCTGTAAAGTGATTGTTGACCCACAGAAGGAGCACTCTTGTTACTCTATCCCTTGAATTTTCATCGTCGAACCAGTTCAGAAGTTGGTTGGCGACTTCGACTGAACTGTCCATAAAAGTCCTATGAGTTAGAAGGAAATCTTCGACGTAGGTCGAATCAATAATCGAATTCTCTTCGATTAACTGTTGCATTAATTTTTCAGGCGTACCCTAAAATCGGATTTATTGAAAACCCAATGTTTTATTATTTAATCATTTATTAAACTTGTCGTACCCTAATTACAACATTTCCTCGTTTTCCACCGTCGACCTCTCTTTGTTCCGTGACCATAACGAGATCACCTTCTGCATTAACATGCTTCTGCATTGCCTCTTGCCCTTGGTGCTGTATCCTATAGTAGTCAGTTGGAGTTATACAAACAAATTGACAATCTTCACATTTCGTCCTCATCACACCCTCGTGATACAGTTTCATCATAGTTGGTAATATACCAAAACTGAAATATCAATTATTTAAAATTGAACTTTTAAGATTTTTTTTTAAACAGTTCATGTTACAAAACCAACCTATCTCCGATATGAAGCTGTTTCGTCTGTCCAGATGAGTATTCTATATCTACCTGTCCATTAATCAAAACACTCCAGGAGTCCAGTTCTTCTCCGTCATTCATAACAATAGTTCCGGCTTTTTCAACCACAGCAAACACCTTGAATAAAAAATACATGATTTATCTTTAAACTAATTAAAAATTATCCATTACTTACCATAACACTGCACAGTGCTCTTCTAACAGCAAGCGTCATATTGGTAAATGCTTTGAGGTGTTGGGTGAATTCGAGTAAAATTTCAATGTCTTCTTCAGTCCTTTCTGTTGGGTCTTTTTCAAGACAATCCCGTACCGCATCCCGAACAGTGAGGCTCTTCAAATTAAAAAAACAAAAATTAATGTCAATTATACCTAACATACATGCAATCTAAATATGTACCAAATTCAATCTGAATAAAGGGTACAAAAACAAGAATATAGATAGCCAAGCCATCAAACGGTATGGTCAAACACCATTAGCTCAAAGATGATGTTGAATTGCAAAACCAAACAAAACGGTATGCAAAACTAAGTCAGCCACTGCTGGGTCCCAGGACATGTGGGAGAACGCAATGAGAAAGCAGATGCTCTTGCAAGAAGAGGAGCTATACAGCTAATAGGACCCGAGCTGTTCTGTGACGCAGGAATACACTATCAGACTTAGACAGAAGGATAAAAAGAACATGAGGGAACACTGAAACTCAATCATTGGACACAACCAATCCAAGAACCTCCTAACAAACTTCGGAAGGAACAGGTAACAGAATTTATTAAAGGAAGAAGGAAAAAACTATGAATCCTAACAGGATGCTAAAAACTAAATGGACATCTGAAGAAGATTGGCATGACCCAACTCGGTACGTGCAGATTGAAGAAGAAAAATAACTTTATTCTGGGACTGGTGCCCCCTAAGAATAATTTACATGAACTAAATAAAGGAAGTTCCTTCTATGAAGTAAAAAAACGATAGAAATCTTGGCACAATGTATACCAATAAGGCAGGACAGAAGAAAAAATTACGAGAATATTAAACAAAAATAACAAATGTTAACGTGAGGTCTCTGCTTGGAGGGAGAGGAGGTGACGAATAGAAAGGGGAAGGGAGTTCCAGAGTTTAAGGGCACGGATCAGAAAGGATCTTTCAAAGGTATGGGTATGTTGCGGAAGGATAATATCGATTGGGGATGAGTGGCTTACGAGTGAGATGTGAGGAGTTGAATTGGAGGGATTGGATGATGTAAGGAGGACGAGTGTGGATGGACTGGAAAAGAAAGCAACCTAGGAAATACTGTGCACGGAAGGAGGGGAATAGCCAGGAAAGTTGGGAATACAACCCCGACACCCGGGATCCCCGTGGGGTGCCGTACACAAATCTTACGCAACAATTCATAATACACTTCAATCGCGCGTTCTCCCCATCCGAGAGACCACCGTATGCCAAACAGCTATAATCGAAGAAGGGAAGTATAAGGGAAGATACAAGGAGTTTGCGGGTGGAGAAAGGTAAGAGAAGCCAGGACCGTCGAAACAGGCTGAGGGAGGCAATGGAATGGCGGGAAATTTGGGACATGTGAGAATGCCAGGAAAGGTTTTGGTCAAAGACTACTCCTAGGTTTTTAACCGAAGAGCAGAAGGGGATGGGATGGTTATTTAGCATGAGAGGTGGGATGCTGGGGAGGGAATTGAGGAGTTGCCTGGACCCGATAATTATGTCGGTGGATTTGGATGTATTGAGGACTAGGGAATTTTTATGGGCCCATTCGTTGATGGAGTTTAGGTCTTTTTGGACCTTGAGAGTGGCCGAGTGATGATCAGAAGGGTGGAAGGGTATGTAAATTTGGGAGTCATCGGCATATAGGTGATGGTTACAGGACTGGATGTAGTTGGGCAGATCATTGATATAAATGGAAAAACGGATAGGAGAGATGCTAGAGCCTTGGGGCACCCTAGATTTTAGAGGGAGGAAGGAGGAGGTAAGGCCATTTGGATTCCGCAATAAAGCAGAGGAGACACCAACACACTGTGGTGCTACAACCAAACTTTCGTGTTGGGACATACAACTTAATTGTAGAAGAGATTCACCCACTAAAACCGGGCCTACTAATCAAGTTACTTGATGTACTAGGACTTATTTTGTGCTTTAAACACAGAATATGGGATACAATGGATCTTAAAGGGTGCCGTATAATACACACCCTGTCTAATACATCTATCTCTATCTACATCTAGAGGGAAACAGGAAACAGAGCCATATAGGTCTATTGTGGAACCCCAGTGGATTATAGCCAACCTTGCAATTTTTCCTATAGAACTAAGCACTTTTCTCAGTCGTTGTGTTGTTGGTGTGAGAATTGCATTGCCAAAGTGGCTGTACCTTCCGGGATAATGCTTCAAATTCATCGGTTTTTTCTGACAAAGTTGGTATGGTTCTGTCAACCTTGCCTACCTTTAGATGGTTGTTTAGGGAACAGTGGTCGGTTTATAGGCATATAATTTTCCTCAAATACTGCAGTTGTTGCAAGGGCATCTGCTTTCTCATTGCGTTCTACTCCCACATGTCCTGGGACCCAGTAGAGGCTGACTTTGTTTTACATACCAAGTTCGTTTAGTTTGGTTTTGCAATTCAACACCATCTTTGAGCTAATGGTGTTGAACTTAGCGCTTTGATGGCTGCTTGGCTATCTGACATGATAGCTATTCTTGCTTTTGTACACTTTATTCAGATTGAATTGGGTACACCTTTAATTGGATGGTAACCCCCCCCCCAAAGTAATTCATCAATAAAATTTTCAAATTTTGGTTCACAACTGCTTTATCAAAGCACAACCGAACATATTGTGCTGTTGAAAGTTTCAACAAACTGCATCAACCTTTAAGTACCCAACAAAAATGGTGTAGACTTTGAAGTAAGTTATGGCTTAATGTTTGCGTTTTATTTATAAGGTCTAGTTTTCTCCTTGTGATAGTTGTTTAGGCCAAAACTAAAATATGAGTCAATTCGGCCGGTCGATCGTATTATGCCCCCGCAGCCTATCCTACCTACTTCAACGCCCATTACATCCTACCTAACGCCTAACGCCTACTTAGCCAACTTCATTGTTCTAAAAGATCCGAGCGAAAAGGACGGAAAAGTCCGCCCGGATCGTTTTTAAGCCTATAATTCGCGTATTTCACCGGTTTAATCTTTTTTTGCACCAATGAATCGCAGTGACGCCTTTTTCCCCGGTGAAATTTATTTGATTGTGAAGCCCTTTCGACGATGTTCCTCGATTCAAAGGGATGCGGGCGTATGAGCAAACGGGAATTTAGAAAATGGCCGAAACGATTATTCATTCTGTCACAAAAGGAGGAGGGAAATCTGCAATTTAATGAAAAAACCTCGAAACATTCCGTCGGGACGTTAATTCCGTCATTTTCTATTTGCCATGACGGATGTCTCTTGTTTTTTAAACTGGCTTTCAATATTTAACACATGTGGACTTTATTTGGACTTATTTCCGCTAGTTCAATTCTGAAACAACTGCCACAAACAACGAACAAACTGCTACAAGATTGTTACTCACTTTACTTGTTTTTATTTATAAGTTCGGACGTAAAATGCATGAGATGTCGACGAGACAAGTCCTAACAAGGTTGAAAAGTCACAATATATATGGCACAAGAATAACCACAACATTTAGCTTTTTTCCACGTCAAATTAACCCTTTTTAAATTCAAATTCATCATTTTTTTACCTTCAAAATATCCCTTTTTAATTTCAAATTCCCCTTTTTTTTTACTTTCAAAACAATCCATCCTTTTTAATTTCAAATTTCTCTTTTTTTTCCCTTCAAAATAAACCTTTTTAATTTTAAATTAACCCTTAAACCTATTTTTCTTTCAAATTAATTATTTTTAACTTCAATTTAATTTCAAATGAACCTTTTCTTTGAAACATCAAAATCCTAGGAGTGGTATAAATTGTAAGCACGTAAATTCCTGCAGTAGAACAAATAATGGGCTCTTTGAAGACCATATGAAAATTAAATACAATTAAAATTTAAAATTGTATAAAAACAAATTATTTGAGAAAGGTGAGAAATTGTGGTTTTTAAAAGCCCAACTATTTTATATTAAAAAAAAGTCAAATGGAAAGAATAATCGTTCTTTATATTTTATTTAACTTTAAATTTTTAATTTTAATGCCATTAATTAACAACGCAGTTTTTTAAGACCCCAAGTATTTAATATTTTTAATAAGTCTCAAATTAATGGAAAAATCTTTTATTTTATATTGTACTTCACACATAATTTTAAATTTAAATTTAGTTCATTTTTACGTGGTTTTTAAGAGCCCAATTGTTTCCCATTAAACAAAAACACAAATTAAAAGAAAAATCTTTTAATTTGATACAAAATTGAATTTGATTTGAAATTAATTTTCATATGGCCTTCTAAGAGCCCCATTAATTTATAATGGGCAAAAATAGCTCAAATTATTAGACGAATCATTTGTTTCTTATTTAATTTTAATTGTAATTCATTTGTATATGGTTTTTATGAGCCCAATTTTTTTTAATGCAGAAATTTTATTTTAGGTACTACATTTACACCATTAGAAATTAAAAACAGCTATCTTGAAATTTGAAAAGTATAATCTAACATTAAAAGGACAATTTGAAATGGAAAATGGTTAATTTGGACTTGGACAATAAAAAGGGCTAACGTTAAATAAATAAAAAAAAGAGATGAACCTGAATTAAAGGGATAAATTTGAAAAAGGGTTAATTTGACATTCAAAAGGGCTATCTGGAAATTAAAAAGGCCTAATTTGAAATTAAAAAGGGTTAATTGGAAGTTAAAAAGGTCTAATTGAACATTTTGAAATGAAAAAGGGAAAATTAAGTGTTAATTTGAAATTAAAAAGGACAAATTTGAAATTTAAAAGGGATAATCCGAAATTAGGGCTAATTAGAAAAAAAGGGTTAATTGGAAGTTAAAAAGGTCTAATTGGACATTAAAAAGGACTAATCGAAAATTAAGTGTTAATTTGAAATTAAAAAGGACAAATTTGAAATTTAAAAGGGATAATCCGAAATTAGGGCTAATTAGAAATTAAAGAGTTAATTGGACATTAAAAAGGTCTAATTTGAAATTAAACTGGGTTAATTTGACGTTACAAACAAAAAACAAAGAATTTGAGATTAAAGTAAAAATGAAAAAAAAAAAAAAAATTTTTTTTAGGTGATAAAGGATAACAAAAACGAAGGAAAAAATACAATTTATAATAAAAACAAATGACTTCATTTAATTTCAGATTTAAAAAATATTAAAATATACAATAAATCAAATAATCAATTGTTTTTATAATTAATTTTAATTATAAATAATTTTAAAATTGGTCAAGCGGGCCACGAAATTAGTGAATTTTAAATAATTTTCATATGGTCTTCTAAGACCATAATTATTTTATATTTATTATATTATTTATTTAATATAATTATTTTGTTAAGTTAAATGGGGTTAATATAAAAAGGGGCGGAAAAAACGATAACCCAACGGTTATAGTGAATAAAATTAAAAAGGATTTAAAAAAATAATAAAATCTAAAATAAACAGAATAATCATTCGTTTTTATAATTAATTTTAATTTTAAATAATTTTCATATGGCCTTCTAAGACCATAATTATTTTATATTTATTATATTGTTTATTTAATATAATTATTTTGTTAAGTTAAATGGGGTTAATATAAAAAGGGGCGGAAAAAAGGATAACCCAACGGTTAAAATGAATAAAACAGGAAAGAAAGAAAGATATATTAAAATTTTAAACCCTCCATTTTTTAAGCACAATAGTGTTGTAACAGTATCCTTATATTATGCACCATTAAATAAAAACTTCCAGACAAAAGATTATTATAAAATTAAAATGAAATACTTTTAAATAAAGGCCATTATGATAAACTGGTAGTGCGTTTGACAAGCCCGTCCAAGAAATAATTAATGACAGAAACTAATGGGAAGAAACAACGTTGACAGTTAGAGACTTCAATCTTTTTGTTTCATATTTATCTCAGCACTATTGATTCTCGAAACAAAGATTACCAAGAAAAGAGATTGTTTTGTATTATTTTATTGTTTGGGTGCATGGTTAAGTTAATCATAATCTGGCTCGTTAGAAAATGGATCCATTCAGAGTTTAAATTGGTAAAATTGCGAAAAAAGATTTATATGGACCGGTAATGATTTGTGTAAATAAAAATCAAAAATTGTGTTGTAAGCGAATCCAGATCATTATTAGGCTATCTGAAATCTATAAGGTCTAGAATGAAGAAATCAGGTCGACCGTTACCGATAAAATCGTAAAAAAACACAACAAAACAAGTTTTCTATAACACAAGAATTATTTGATTAAAAATAACATAGAAAAATATTGTTTCAACTTACATCGCTGCTTTCTCCCAGGTCGTCTTCGTCAGAGTCGACGATGGATTCGACCAATCCCGAAAGGTCGACATCCTCCGCCTCCGTGGAATGGCAGGTCATGGTGTCGCTTCCGGAATAGGCCGAAGAGGTCGAAGAATGTGAACTCCTGTTGCTTTTATACGCCTCCCTTACGCCATACTGTTAACATAAATTGACATAATTAATTGGAAAACGGATCAAAGACAAGATTGAATATTTAGTTTTTTTCCTCGGGGAAACTACAACAAAAAGAAATATATTTTAGGGAGTTTGAAAACCAATAAGGAGAAGAGTAAAGATGTTATGCCAATAATTGCTCTTGGCATTCCCTCCTACCGTAAGGCCCCCAAGTCTCCCTTCTCAATAACAGCCCGTAAATCAAGTCCGCTTTTATTTTATTGAAAAAAAAAGTCCTCTCAGGATGTAATTGAAAGAGTTTTCAAAGCTCGTCAGTACAAGCTTTTGAATGACGGTCGGGTTATTTCGTTTCAACATTTTTATACGACATTTATAACAACTTGAATCAAAGATTACTGAACTTATGAACAATTATACATGTTTACACGTGACCGACCTGGGTCTGAAACTTGGGATATGATCGATCTGTTCATTCATACATGACAGGACAGGGATCAGAGGTAAACAAGACAACAAATACGTCAGAATTTGTAGTTTAACACTATAATATTGAATTTATGTATGAAACCTTTTGTAATTTTTGCCTATTTCGACGACTTATTGGATATTAAGGTTGTATGTGGTAAGATTGGATATATAAAAAAAGAACATTATTTTTCGAAGAATTTTGGATTGTACGGTTACGAATTTGCCGAAGGTCCAAATAGGCAGAGTCAGTTTTGATAATTTGACCAACTGTAAGACATCTGAAGCGTCTGTTCGGTCTTGAGTCTGCAAGTACCCAAGTCGTTTGCCAATGAATATCCCAATGAAACGGGTTACATTAGCTTGTAAGACAGAGATACTATTGTGGTAGATTGAAGTAGTGCTGATCCTTGAAGAATGAACTGCCAAGACAGAAGGGGTACTGAGATACTTTCTTTGGGTACTCCTGTATCTATACGAGCCAGTGATACATTGAAAATGTCTGTCGTTTAAGTAGGATTTCATTACCAGTAGTCAGTAAAAGATAGGGGTCTCTTAAAGGTGGCCTCAGGATCACTCCAAATGGAACCGCGCCAAGCCGTACAGCTCCAATTGGAGTGCCTGAAATTTGAGGGGGCATTCACGACCGCTCCACAGCCAGCCGTTCCGAACGTCAACCAGTGAATTACCTTCTCAAAATGGATGACGATCTCTTGTGCTACTCTTCTGTTTATTTACATATTAAAAGCAAAAAAATCGAAGAGAAAATGGTGTAAGAAGTGGCTCCTGAACAGAAGCCGTAATACCCACATCAATTTGATGAAAGATCCCTTGAACCCGCTGATTGGAGGAACTATTTAAGGATGGATGAAATCTCTTATTTATTCATTATATTTAGTGTTCTATTGACCAAATTACTTCTTTCAATTATTTAATCTTTTTTGTAAGGTTTTGGTTGAAATGAAAAAGCAAGTGCCACGAGCGGGATCTGAATCCATGGCCTTCGGCTAAATACGCCGCTGCTCTACCACTTGAGCTATCGTGACTTCGATCCTCTCGTACACCAAAAAATGGCAAAAAGAGAGAAAATTCGAAAGGTTGTAGGTTGAGATGGGGAGTTGGTGTCCGAGTGGATCGAACTATCGAAGTCAGGATAGCTCAAGTGGTTAGCACAGCGGCGTATTTAGCCGAATGTCGTGGATTCGAATCCCCTCGTGACACTATTTTTTCATTTCAACCAAAACCTTACAAAAAATAGATTAACGTCTTATTTATATTTCCTCCAGCTTGTTACCCCCTTGATTAGAAAACGAAAGACAGTCATGAGAGAAATCATCATTATATGAAAGGTTGGCAACCACATTACGATTTCTCGCTACAGGGATGAACTACAAAGAACTTAAGTTCTCTACTACGATTTTTGATCATTGGTGGTTTTTGGAACGGCTCGCTCCGTTTGGACTGCTTGGAGCGATCGTGAATGGCCACCTTAAAACCTTCAAGAGTTGTTTATTTCACTATCAAGAAATATTCCGGAGCAGTTGGTCGACCAAACTGGAGGTCAGGAATTTGGCTGCGGGAATGAAGGACGGAGGTATGTGACTAAGCCAGTGCTACCTTAGGTTATCAGCAGTGCTGATCCTTTAAGAATGAACTGCCAAGACAGAACGGGTACTAAGATACTTTCTTTGGTCCTCCTGTATCTATACGAGCCAGTGATGCCTTGAAAATGTCTGTCGTTTAAGTAGGATTTCATTACCAGTTGTCAGTAAAAGGGAGGGTTGTCTTAAACCTTCAAGCATTGTTTATTTCACTATGAAGGAATATTCCGGAGTTGGTCGACCAAACTGGAGGTCAGGAATTCTGTTGCGGGAATGGAGGCCGGAGGTATGTGATTAAGCGAGTGCTAACTTAGGTTATCAGCAGTGCTGATCCTTGAAAAATGAACTACCAAGACAGAACGGGTACTAAGATACTTTCTTTGGTCCTCCTGCATCTATACGAGCCAGTGATGCCTTGAAAATGTCTGTCGTTTAAGAAGGATTTCATTACCAGTATTCAGTAAAAGGGAGGGGTCTCTTAAACCTTCACGCGTTGTTTATTTCACAATCAAGGAATATTCTGGAGTTGGTCGACCAAACTGGAGGTCAGGAATTCGGCTGCGGGAATGAAGGACGGAGGTATGTGACTAAGCCAGTGCTACCTTAGGTTATCAGCAGTGCTGATCCTTTAAGAATGAACTGCCAAGACAGAAGGGGTACTGAGATACTTTCTTTGGGTACTCCTGTATCTATACGAGCCAGTGATGCCTTGAAAATGTCTGTCGTTTAAGAAGGATTTCATTACCAGTATTCAGTAAAAGGGAGGGGTCTCTTAAACCTTCACGCGTTGTTTATTTCACAATCGAGGAATATTCTGGAGTTGGTCGACCAAACTGGAGGTCAGGAATTTGACTGCGGGAATGAAGGACGGAGGTATGTGACTAAGCCAGTGCTACCTTAGGTTATCAGCAGTGCTGATCCTTTAAGAATGAACTGCCAAGACAGAACGGGTACTAAGATACTTTCTTTGGTCCTCCTGTATCTATACGAGCCAGTGATGCCTTGAAAATGTCTGTCGTTTAAGTAGGATTTCATTACCAGTTGTCAGTAAAAGGGAGGGTTGTCTTAAACCTTCACGCGTTGTTTATTTCACAATCGAGGAATATTCTGGAGTTGGTCGACCAAACTGGAGGTCAGGAATTTGACTGCGGGAATGAAGGACGGAGGTATGTGATTAAGCCAATGCTAAGTTAGGTTATCCACAGTGGTAAAGGATGCATCTTAAGATACTTCTTTACCTTTGCGTGTGTTGGTTAAAAAGGATTTCAGGTCTCATTACCTAATCATCAAAGGATCTTATTATCTTGCCTTGTTTTTGTAGTTTCAATAAAATATCATCAGGTGTTACTACTGGTGTGACTTTAGTCATGTTTTTGTTCAAGGGCAGTCTAAAATGACATCCCAATTTCTAAAGTTTCCAATCAACTGGGACTTCAATACAGTGAATTTTGGGATTGTAGCATAAAATAGCGAATATAAAAACATAAATGCTTACGTTATTGACTGCATCGTCGAAAACCAAGTTTACCCCCCGTTCCATATTGGTGGGTATTCTTGCACTCCTGATTCCCACCTCCGGGTAATCAATCTAAACAAACAATACAAAAATTAATTAATCTTGTCTAAACGATAGCTTACAACAAAAATTATTTATCTTTTACATGAATAAATATTGCACAATTTTTAGCCCTGTTATTCATTCAGAATAGCGATTATTAACAGTCTTTAAATTAAATTGCGTTAAGGCCGAGTCAATAATAAGACAAAGTCGTGTGCGATAAGCATCAAAGCATTCCGTCGACGGTGGTGTTGCTGACATGTGATGAAACATTGTTCTGACGGCGAAGCTCGTTCGTATCAACTACAGATTAAACCATAACAGAATCTCCATTGAAATATAATGCTCTGACAGGCATAAGCAATTAAGTAAAACTCGATTTGACAACGAAGCCATTGGGTCTTAACACTACACAACAATTTTTCTTCCTGTGCATACTTTTTTGACTGATTTTTATTAGTTTATCGATCAAAAAAGTTAGCAACTTAGAACACAAAATCTCGAGGGGAAATATAAACGGAAAATTTTTCTTTACCTATTTTACATAGATAATCAATTAATTACATTAATAAAAATAACCATTGAACAACTGAATGTATTGTCGCAAGTTTTTTTTAAACTCTCACGCGATTTTCAAAATATCCCTCAAGCAAAATATAATTTGGGTAATTTTCCTCTTTTTATGTTTCTACAGCCAATTTGATGATGTTATATGATATCACGGAAACCGACTCTATTTTCTTTACCCTATTGCAAGCCTCTCTACAGCGAAGGCCTCGTCATTTGAGGATAAAACAACACAAATTATTAACGCTTGCACAAAACATAATTGGCACTGGTTAGATTTCACTCCAACCCAGAATACCCGATATTCCTCTGGGTAATTGAGGATAAACTCTGCCAATTTACGCCAATAAATTACTCCAATTAATTATTCTTTTTAGCTAAGGTTTTTTGGTTGAGATGAAAAATTAGTGCCACGAGCGGGATTCGAACCCACGACCTTTGGCTTAAAACGCCGCTGTTCCAACCACTTGAGCTATAGTGACCTCGGACACCAACTCCCCATCTCAACCACAATGTGTTTTAGCCACAATTTACATTGTCCTGATGTACAGAGAGGCTATCAATTGGATAAAGAAAAGAGAGATTTGGTTACAATTACATCATAAAACAAAACTCGAATAGAATCAGTAAAATATTAGCATTTCCTTTTATGTAAGGTTTCGGTTGAGATGAAAAAGTTAGTGTCACGATTGAGATTCGAACCCACGACCTTCGGCTCAATACGCCGCTGTTCTAACCAGCTGAGTTATACTGACTTCGACCCTCTCGGGCACCAACTCCCATCTCAACCTACAACCGTTGGAATTTTCATTCTTTTTGCCTTATGGACTAATCAATTACATTCACACTCCACAATTCATTCACACTACCTCAGAGTACTCGATGTCCCTTGGGATAATTTGGTTGCTAAGCCCTGCCATTCACGCTAATAAATTACATTCACACTACCCACAATTATTCGATATTCCTCGAGATAATTGCGAGATAGGACCCTCAATTCACGCTAATGAATTCACATTCACACTACTCCAAAGAACGAGATATTCCTCGAGGTAATTGGAGTGACCACTGCCATTCACGCTAATAAATTACATTTACACACCACAATACATTCATACTACCCCAGAGCACATGATATTCTTCGGGGATAAACCCTGCCATTCACGCTAATGAATTACATTCACACTATTCCAAAGAACGAGATATTCCTCGAGGCAATTGGACTGATCACTGCCATTCACGCTAATAAATTACATTTACACACCACAATACATTCACACTACCCCAGAGCACTCGATATTCTTCGGGGATAAACCCTGCCATCCATGCTAATAAATTACTTTCAATTAATTAAGGTTTTTAGTTAAGATAACAAAGTCAGTGTCACGAGCGGGATTCGAACTCACGACCTTCGGGCTAAATACGCCGCTGCTCTACCACTTGAGCAACCGTGACCTCGATCCACTCGGACACTAACTTCCCATCTCAACCCAACCTTTTGAATTTTCCCTCCTTTTTGCCATTTTTCAAGTGGATCGAAGTCACGATAGCTCAAGTACTAGAGCAGCGGCACATTTAGCCGAAGGCCGTGGGTTCGAATCCCGCTCGTTACACTGACTTTTTTTCTCAACTAAAAACCTTCATTAATTGAAAGATATTAATTGGTCACACCACGAAACTAGTGAATTTAATAAATTACATTCACACATTCATTCACACTACCTCTGATTTTGATATTCCCCGGAATAACTGCGGATAAACGCGTCTATTTACGCTAATAAATTACGTTAACACTACTAAAAAAAGCTCGATATTCCTCGGAATAATAGCGGATAAGCCCCTTTATTTACGCTAATAAATTACATTATCGCTACTCAAAAAAACTCGATATTCCTTGGAATAATTACGGGTAAACGCTCTATTTCGCTAATAAATTACTGGATATTCACCGGGCAATTGGGAATGTAAAATAAATTACATGCATCGTTCACACTTCCCAATAGTACTGATTACAAATAAGAACTGTTTCCCGTTCATTCGTGCCCGACGAGAACTCGATATTTCTCGGGGATCATACTGCATCTCCGTTCGCTAATAAATACATTCACATACCAGACTTCAATCACACTCCCTTCGAGTACTGGATATTCCTTGGGTAACTGGGTAAGGAGCTCCACAATTCGCGCTAATAAATTACATTCCCACACCAGACTTCATTTCCACTGCTTCAGAATAGTTGATAATTCATCGGTTTCTTTACTTACACAATAATAAATTATTATCACTCAGTAATATAATAATAAGAACTGTTTCTCTCTCAATCACCCACCTCGTATATCGTAATAAATATATTCACATTACCACAGAATAGTCGATATTCGCGATGTAATTTGGAATAAACCTCTACATTCACGCAAATAAATTTGTTTCAAGAAAGAACGTATCACATTCATGAAAAATCTATATAAAATTTAAAATATTTATGACTATATTTCCTTGTTAAAAGATTGTTTTGTTTTAATTAAAATTTACACAGTTGTGCTTTGTCGCTCTTAGTCATTACAAAAAAGGAAAGAAAAAGTCCTGAAAACTTTGATTTTATGGTTTAATTTTTGCAGCTTACTCCGGGGTGAAATTATATATCCACTTTAATTGCAATTCTAGATATCTCACCTGAATTTTTTTTTAATAGAAGGAAAGCTTTTAGAAGATTATTTCGGAAAATAACCCCTGACTTGTTTTATTATTACTCCTCTGAGTGTTAAATAAAATTCATAAATCACGATAAAAATTTTGATCTTGAAGAAAAACAGTCAATGAATGTTTTGTTGGAACAATTAAATCTAATTTAGGCTTTTTCTAAAAACACAAAATTTGTCGTTAAAGGCTCACTTTTTCACAAATTTAAATTGGAAATTCACCTCGTCTATTTTTCTTTCGTCGTTAAATCCTCCTGGCCGTTTGAGAAGACCGTCCCCGCCGCCGGGTAGTGCGTTAATGGACACAAAATCTGTCTGGAACACCGGACTGGAAATAGACTTGGCCTACACATAACACGTAGGTCAGTCAGCTCCCTCGACAGGTAAAAAAGCGTCTCTTCTCTTCTGTCCTCGCTATTAATACAACAGTGGGACAGGGAAAGATTAAAACTATCCATTCCGGCAAATATAAATTTTCGAATGGGGGGGGGGATAGAAGAAAAAGCTTCAACTATCGAAAAAGGGCGGACTTTTATTTAATCCGTTCATCCTGGACAAAAAGGTCTAAAGTTCAAGTGATCATTATCTTTTGAAAGTCAATATTAACAATTACATTTTACTTTCTCTAATTTAAAAAAAAAGCACTGATTTTAACTACAAATAAAGTACAGTTGATTTATAATTCCAGAAACTTCAAAGTCCTCCTAAGATCCGACCCGTACTAAAACTTATAAACATCATTAAACTGCTTAAAAGTCCCATTGAAACATCTTAAAAGTATCTTAATTAAATAAATATAAAATTGACCATATTTCTTTTAAAGTATAAATAAATCCTTATAAAAATATTAGCTTTATATATTCCTAGAAACGAGCAATAAATAAAAGGTACAGCGAGACTACTCGGCCCATGGACGTCAAGCATCCGAACTGTTTCAAAATTTCAAAAATTAATGGATATGAAAGTCAAAGTTTATTAAGTTCATGAATTTATTTTCATTTCCCACACCTTGACACTCACACGGGTTGGCAAATTTTGATTGAACAGGATCTTCAGGAGAGCAAAGGATGCCGATATTATCCGCAGTCGGGGTCTTAAGATATATTCTTGTATCTATGCGATTATTTGACAGAAAGGAGCTACTAATGAGTTACAAATTTCGTTTAAGTAGTAAATATGTAATGAATTAGTAAGTACTTGTCGCTAAGTCGTTAGTCGATGATAGCCCAAGGTAGCAGACTACTTAGTGTGAGAAGGATACTTCGTAGAAGAAAGAAGCAGTGTCTTTCGCAGGGTGATTGATTTTCAGTCTGCACCACTTGACTTGAACCATCTTAAAAAAGATATAATATCTATTGTATATTGTGTGGAGGATGGGTCCTAAGATTCATCCTTGAGGTATCACTGCGTCTGTGCGATAGCCGACTGAAAGAGAGCCATTGATGCCGTGAAAAGTGTATGTAAGTTAAGTAAGATTGTATTATCAGGTCTCATTTTTTAACTGTAGATTAAACTTCTAGACTAGCACAGGGTGCCATACCGAATCATAGGCTTGCTTCACACCTAGAAAAAACAGAAGCAATTTAAATGTGAAATGACACGCGTCAGGAATTATGGTCAGGAACTGATTTTATAGTTTTTCTAGGATTTTGCCCATTATAGGAAATAAAACGCGAAATAAATATAATTATTAGTAATCTGCTCCTAGAGATGAGAAATAACCACAACGTACGACACTACCCACCCCTGGACGATAAGGACCAT